AATCTGTTATAATATGGATGATCTTTATTAGTTATACATTGATTTTGACAGATTAGTCTTTATAGAAAAAATATCGATCACTGAATCTTTAAGCTTTTTGCATTTCCTATGCTCAAAGATACTATAATCTTATGCAGATTTGGATTTAAAGGAGGTAAAGGGGATTGATTGGTTGTTAAATTACCTATTCAGTAAAATGGGGTTAAAATAAAATGAACTTATATGTGCTAACTTCTCCTTCCAATATGCTTTATTTAAACTTGGTTGTGTTAATTTGTACACTATCAGTTTAATACTAATTTTACCTCTGCAATCCATTTATTGTTTGAAATGTTGTGTTACAAAAGTACCCTTATTTTTTCTTATTGCAGTCATATATGATATTCCTCACTATTAGTTCAAAATTTTCATGTATGTGTATTAATGCAATGTTATGGGTTGAGTTTTTGTTGTATTTGATTGCTTATATCAGTAGGCCTCTTTTGAAAATCGGTATGACTCCCTTCTTTTTGTATATCTGGATTTGAGTTTCCAACTGTTAGAATGACTAGTTCAAAGCAATGAACAAAAAATATTACTCCGTACAATTTTTTGGTTGGCCATGAACTATGTAGCACCGATACCGGTACGCAGAAACGCGGAAACGCGGAAACGGGTACGGGGATACGTCAAAACCAAAAAAAGTAGGATACGGATACGGGGCCATATTTATAAATATTAAAAGTTATGGAGGTGTATTTACAAATATTAAAAGTTATAGGGGTCTATTTATAAATATTAAAAATAGATTTTTTTTGAATATATATATATATATATATATATATATATATATATATATATATATATATATATATATATATATATATAGTTATAGGGGTCTACCCATTCATTGCATTGAAGCATTTTCCTTTTTCAAGATATTTAGTAATAAATTCATAATATTTCTCATATACACTAGTCATCTCGAAATATAAATATAGTCAATAAGTCATTAATTTAAAATGAGAAATAAGTCACACAACTACAATCTTGAAATTAAAAGTGCGAGTATCCAATTCGGAGTATGAGTTTTGACTTAATTCGAATATAGCCATATAGGCCCATTATTTGATTACCAAGTAAAATGTAGTTTTAGATTTTCATTTTTGTTTAGAATTTTATTAAGTAAATTTTGGGTTTTTTTTAAAAAGTTGATACGGGTATCCGTCAGGATACGAGTATCGGAAACTTTCAAAAAATTACAAAAAAAAAATGGAAACTTTTAAAAATTGCAGATACGGCCCGGGAACGTACGGTACGGGTATCCTAGAGTATCGGATACGGGAACGTATCGGATACGCCGATACGCTACCCTAGCGAAGTATCCGTGCTTCATAGGCCATGAATATGGAATTTATAAAGCTTGCTTTTGGGGGAAATGAGTTGTCATCTTTACCTAAAGGGTAACAGCTTGAAAAGGTTCAAGTTTTGTCACAAGGACAGATTGAAAGTTGGTTCTACTTATAATAAATATTATACTCTACGGTAGCTCAACTTTGGTTTTGATGCTTGTACACTTAAGTTGTACCCAAGTTTGAGAAGGCGTTGTTGCATGTTTGCTTTTGTGGTCTTTGTAGGCCTTGTTTGATGATTTTGATGTTTGTTGATCTTTTAGTATATTATTATTACTGGGTTTGAAAAAAAATGCTGATTGATTGGACGCTTCTTTATTTATGTACAAATGAACAATGCACCTAAAGGTTGTAAAAAATCGGACACTGCAAGTGATTTGTGCAAAAAGCTTAAAGACATAGTCCTTCCTTTCTGGGAACACATAAATAAGTGAGTTGTTTATTACAACTTCTAAACAAAATCGGGGAAGCAGTTGATCTTCCAACACCTCTTGCTATACTTTTGTCGGATCGCTATGCTGAGATCCACATCAACAATGACAGCTTCTCTGCTTATCTCTTCGAAGTGTATGGCATCCGAATGAACACCACGCTGGAAGACGTTCTATATCTAACTCGTCTTCTAGTTGTTGGTAGTGCAGTGATCTCTTCCCGCGACAAGGGCCGGGATATGACTGGTTTTGAAAGAGTGTTTCAACTTCCCCAGCCGAGGAGATCCGTGTGAAGGTACTCATTGATTTGGCATGTGACAAGCATCAAGACCAAACAAGACGGATTCAAGCAATCCTCTTACTCATCATCAATTGTATAGTGCTTCCTTCATCAACCAGACATATCTGCCGCAACTCATATGTCCAGTTTATTAAAAACATGGACAATGTGGATAAGTATGTTTGGGGTGCCGCAATGTTGTCTTTTCTGTATCATGGTTGGAACAATCGGATTGTGACGGACAAAAATTCTATGAGGAAACATTTGGATTGTCTTGGTAAGTTTTTTTTTAGAAATAACATTCTTCCTCCATTCGGGGTAAAGAATGCAACATAGAAAAATATTAAGAAACTTAGATACTTTTTTCTTTCATGTTTTTTGTACCGGAATGTAAACCACCACCGTGGAGTAGATGCCGGAGATACATTGAGCATCAAAACTTAATTGCATGATTAGAGTTGGGAATAGCGATATTGTTTACGTTGAATTTCAGCCCATCATCTTTTACACTCAGATTTGCAATCAGATGCACATTTTGGTTGGCCTCTCTAAAGATATGTCTTTCCTGAATGTGAAGCTTATCACAAATCGATTTGGCATCAAGGGTCATTTTCTTCATGTAATTACGGAGGAGCCATTAGAGTCATTCAAAATACTAATAGTCATTTTGGAATCAGATTCTATAGGATTAATAGTCTTTTCGCCAGTGTAGTGGATACTCCTCATCAACTCTTTTGAGTGATATATTCTTTATCACATTTCCAAGTTGTGCCTCCAACATTGAAATCAGTCTTTCCCTGGAAAAGATCCTTTTGACCCGTGTAGTTGATGCTCTGCGTCCGGTAGGGGCAAACCGCAAACTGAAAAATTAGATGAGTGATGAATGTTTTGGACACTCTTGTAGATGAAGTAAGTAGTGTGCTGGTTCTTCAGTGCAAAGTCAAATTCCCCCTTTTTCTATTACTTTCAAGTTTCCATTTTGACTTCTTTTTTGCGTGCATAAAATAGAAGGTGATTTGGAGACCATACAAAGAAGAGATGTTGTCAGCCATCTTCGTGAGCAGATCCCATTTTGTAGGATTACCTTTCTGCTGTTTTGTTTCAATTTTCTGGAATATCATCTTCCAAGTCTTGTCACACAGCAGTTTGAGATTTTGGAGCCTACGTGTCTCAAACCACTCCAGTTCAAGCAAAACAGAAGAAACAAATATGAGGACTTCTTTTTAGGAACATTATAAGCGCCCATTTGAGATGTGGGAAAACCAAGATTGAGCAACCCTGGTGTGAAGTTCATCTAAGGCCTCAATTTTATGAGCAAATTTATAGAATAATAAACCAAATAAAATCTTCACCCCCTCCCTCCTCCTCCAATCACCCCTCATCCTTCACCTTCTCTTCATTCTGCTAATGATGCTTATATTACTTCTCCTTCTGATGATTTTCAAATTATTATTATGAATTTGATGGGGATGAAGGATGAGTAATACTCCCTCCGTCCCGCTATTAACTTCTTACTTTGACCTACACACATATTTAGGAAATAAATTTGACTTTACTGTAAAGAGTACACTGTTTCGAAACTGTTTTGCACTGTTTGACACTGTTTGGATGTAGGGTAACTTTCCATTTAGGGAAATGAGAAGATTATTTTTGGACGGCCAAAAAGGAAAGCAGGAAATTAATAGCGGGACGGAGGGAGTAATAATTTGAAAATCATTAGAATGAGAAGTAATATAAGCATCATTAGCAGAATGAAGAGAAGGTGAAGGATGAGGGGTGATGGGAAGAGGAAGAGGGGTAAAGATTTTATCTTGTTTATTCTTCTATAAACATGTTTATAAAATTGAGGCCTTAGATGGAGTTCATACGAGGTTGATTAATCTTGGTTCTTAACATCTCAAATGATTGCTTAAAATGTTCCTAGAAGTCTTGATTTTTGCTTGCTCTGTTTTCCTTGAACTGAAGTAGTTTGAGACATGTGGGCTCAAAAATCTCAAACTACTGAGCAACAAGACTTAGAAAATGATATTCTAGAAAATTGACGCAAAATAACGGAGTGGAAATTTCTTACAAAACAGACCTACTCACGAAGATGGGTTGGCGACATCTCTTCTTTGTATGTTATCCAAATCACCTCCTATTTTATGCACACCAAAAAGAAGTCAAAATTGAACTTAATATAAAAAGATGAAATTTGATTTTGCACCTTGGAAAACCAGCACACTACTTAATTCATCTACAAGTGTGTCCAAAATATTCATCACTTCTCCAATTTTCAGTTTGCAGTTTGCACATACCGAACGCAGAGCATCAACTACATGGGCCAAGGGGATCTTTCCCAGGGGCTGCTTCTCAAGAGTGATTACAATGTTGGATGGAACTTGGAAATGCAAATAAAGAAAAAATCCCTCAAAAGAGTTAATGAGGAGCATCCAATTAGCGAAAAGACTATTAATCAGCCAATCAGATAGAATCTAATTCAAAAATAGCTATTAATATTTTGAAAGACTCTAATGGCCCTCCAAATTACTTGTAGAAGATGATCCTTATTGCTAAACATTTTTTATAAGCTTCACGTTCAGAAAATGGCATATTTTTAGAGCGGTAAACCAAGTTATGCATCTAATAGCAAATTTGGGTCTAAAGATGATGGACTAAAATTATACGGAGACAATAACATCATACCCAACTCTGTAATCACGCAATTAAGTTTATATGTTTAATGTATCTCTTCCGTGTGTTTCTAAATTTTCCTCATTGTTTTTCCCTCATTAACTTTTTGTAATTTTCTTTTTCTTCATATAAATAAAGTTTTTTGTCAGCTGTTCCCCGACAACTACCCCACAATAGTGGTTTACCTTCCGGTACAAAAAAACATGAAAGAAAAAAGTGTCTGAATTTCTTAATATTTTTCTATGGTACAATCTTTACCAAATGGAGGAAGTATATTATTTCTCAAAAAAAAACTTATCATGACAAAACAAATGTTTCCTCTAATAGAACTTCTGCATGTCACAATCCGATTCTTCAAATCGTGATACATAAAAGACAACATTGTGGCACCCCAAGCATACTTATCCACATTGTCCATGTTTTCAATAAATTGGACATATGAGTTGCGGCAGATATATCCGGCTAATGACGAAAGCACTGCACAATTGGATGATCGGTAAGAGGATTGTTTGAATTCGTCTTGTTTGGTCTTGATACTTATCACATGACGATCAACGAGTACCTTCACACGGACCTCCTCGGCTGGGGGAAGCAGAAATACCCATGTCACAGACAAGGATCACTGCACTATCAACAACTGGAAGACGAGTTAGATATAGAACGTCTTCCAGAGTGATGTACATTCGGATGTCATGCACCTTGAATAGATAAGTAAAGAGGTTGTCGTTGTTAATGTTAATCTCAGCATAGCGATCCAACAAAAGTATAGCAAGAGGTGTTGGAAGATCAACTTCATCCCCCGCCATGTTGGAAGATTATGTTTAAAAATCTTTAAACTATCGTTGAGCATAGGAAATGCAAAAAGCTTAAAGATTCATTGATCAATATTTTTCCCTATAAAGACTAATCTTTAAAAATCAATGTATAACTAATAAATATCATCAATATTATAACAGATTACGATCACTATAGGTTCTACAAAATTATTCAAATCAATTATAAGCGACTTCTAAGAACACAAATTTTCATACGAGACCTTCTCAAAAAGATCATAGGTAACCATTAACTTACTACATCATCATTAAATCACAAACAAAGACACCCTTATAAACTCCCCAAAAAAACCTTACCTGAAAAATCAAGGAGGCCTGGTGTGAAGCGTGAAGGGGAGAAGTGGCATGTTTCCTGAATGGGGAGAAGTAGCCGAATGGACTGAACAGAATATCAAGGAGGATAAGGTCGGGGGTGTGAAGCGTCAAGGGGAGAAAAATCATATATGCGTGTATTTGAATAATTTCACATAATTTAGATATAAAATATGGCTTAGGGCATTATTTTTTAAGAGTTTAAGGCTTTTTAAGGATGTTTTTGCTTGAACTAAAATTTGCTGGTTTGGTTTAGTACTTAATTATTTTCAAGTCAAACAAACGAACCTTACAACGTCATACTACAATATCAGTGCAAGTGTTGATTTTATTTTGAGACACGCAACGACTTTAGTGTCTTCCCTCAACCAACTTTTTTGAACATAAAATGGATTCTACATATTTTTACTTTATTAGTCTCACTGCATGACGACGAGAATGTGTATCCTAAATAGAAGTAGCAAAATTTACCTAAAAATCAAAATAGTGATTTACCTGGCGCAAGTAGGGGCGAAAATCTCTTGGGTTCTCTTGAAGAAGATTTTTTAATTTCTCCAAAGCCTCTTGTAGTTCTCCCTGAAACAAGAATGCTCAAAAGATTCAAAACATAAGAACAACCAAATATAAGATGCCTAAACCCCACATTCGTCTTATTTTCCGCACCTCTTTCTTTTCAATGGTCTACTATTTCATAATCATGGTATTATACTATTATTACCTTTGTTACATGCATCTGTGCAATCAGTATCTTTATATTTCTTTCCTCATTGACTCTCTTTTCTCGACAAGCAACTTCAAGAGCCCCATTCAGCATCTCAAATACAGCAGGGCCTTCCAGGTTCTTGTGCATAACCATTGCTAGACCTTGCACCAGAAAATAGAGTAAAATGCCAAAAACTAGGTATTTGTAAGAAATAACAACAAAGTATTAAGCTGGAAAACACCAACTATTAGATTCCAAGTTGTGAAGGTTCATATAGGCAGGACCATTGTTTAAGGATTCAGCCATTAGTTAAAGAGCTAAGAGAAAACTTAATAGACCCCAAGCTTCCGTCAAAGAAGTTGTAAATTTGGAATTGCAAAGACTGGTACAGATATATGTAGGCAATAGTTGGTCAAATAGTTGCATTGTGCGAGTCCTAGTTTGAAAGGATATCAAGAGTCCACTATTGATTAAGAAAAGAATCCAAATGTTATATGGATGGCATGATTATTCCAAGATGAGCAAGAATGTTTATAGGACAAGCTATTCTATCATATACACATCATTCAATAAAGAGTGCACACTGAATTCGTATTAAAATGGGAAAAAAGAGTTACAAGTTCAAGCAATATGATAGTCCATTCGAAATGTGTTTTTGTTACATGTACATGTTCATGGAATATACTTGATCATAAACAGAACTAAGAAAAGAAGTTTCTTCAGGACACATCAGCGTAAAATGAAATTGACAATTAACCTCAAGTAATTTTTTGGAAAAAAGGAAGGAACAATAAGTTTCACACACGAAATAGGATTATAAACAAAAAATCATATATGTGTTCTTACTTTGCTATAAGAAAACTTGTTACACATATAAAATGCTAAATCCCTTATATAATTGGAACGATAAAATTGGCACCAAAAGTTGTGGGTATGGATATAGGGGCGGAAGAGGTGGTGGACACCGGAGTAATGGCGACCGGACGGCGAAGGTGGTGGGTATGGACTATGGAGGTAGGGCAGCGGAGGTGCGTGGTGGATACGGAGATGGTGGCGGCGGAGATCTCTCTGATGGAGGAGTCGGAGATGGGAGCTTCAGCCGTCACGCCAGTGGTGGAGGTTGAAATCTGGCCGTAGAAGAAAGAAAAGGAAAGGATATGATCGAGATGGGGCCTGGGAGAAGAAAGAACGGAGGGGGTGTGGGGACAAAAGAAAGGGAAACGGAAAAAGAAATGAGAAAAGAAAAAGGAAAAGAATAGACTTTTTTAAATAAAAAAACAAGAGAAAAATATTTAAAAATGTCACATGGACATCCACGTCACCAGACAACGGGAGAAACCGGATCATTACCGGTAAAATGGGTTATTAGATCAAGTTTAACACTTCATGGACCTAATTGATTCGCGTAAAAGTAGTATTGTAGTAGGACTCAATTGATTTTTTCGTAAAAGCACAGGGACCTGTTTGACAGTTTTTTAAAAGGAGAAGCAATACAGATGAAAGTGTTGGCTCTATCCTTTGAAAATTAATGTGTTGATGACCGTGTAACTCCTGAGTTGACCTCGTTGACCATTAAGCTCCGTTAATTGACCTGCAACATAATCACTAAAAAAACTAAAAATATATTAGTGGCTCGAGACGCGTCAGACACCGTCCTAAGGAATTATTTCTGGCGTACGAAAATTTCTCCTAAGATATAACGAGCCCTTCGGTGCAAAACCGGTAACAGAACTAACGAGAAGAAAATTAGTATATGAACTCAATAATCATTTGAACAAAATGTTATTCGTGATGTATTCTATTATACTCCGTATATGATATAAATCGTAGGAAGTCGCCCGAGCTGCCAAGCACACTTGAAAGGATTTGTGATATATTCTTTCTCACTCACTCACCCGTATATAGTATGTATAGAATACCTTTTTTTTCAAGAAGCTTAAAAGACCACCAAATATAATGTGTATTGCAGGTATATATACATATATATACACCACTCCGTATTCATCAAGTTAATAAAAAGCATCGCATACGTTGTTCTTGTTTAGAAATTTAATGCAAATTAAATAAAAAAAAAAATAAAGACACAGCTAGTGCACGTTAGGATCAAAACTTTAATTTAATACTTTTTGTATTAACATATGTTACTAACACTAATAAATTATAGTGCCAATGCCTATGCGTTATAGTATATGAGCAATCAGAGATAAAGCCAACGTTAAAATTTGATATTTGAAATTCATTGTTTAATATGAACTGAATTAGAACAAAGTGACTTTTAAGTCTTAACTAGTCAATAGACCCGTGCGTTGCACAAATAACAGATGAAATTATTTTAATTTTTAAATTTCATTGATTTTATGAATAATGTATATCTACATCCTTATTGTAAAAATTAAAACCTAATATCGAACGATATTAGAGTACACATAAGATAGTTGTTAAAGATACAGTAACTCGTACGGAGTATAAAATTATTAAATAAATACTCTACCACGTACTCCCAAATTATTGTTTCCATTTAAAGTAGTAAATATGTATTTAAAGTTATTTTTCCCTCTACATAAACATCAATCACATAATTTTTACTTTCATAATCTTTATTTCACATGAAAGTCAACTATGATCAAGTTTTATAAGGGAGTATCAATTATTATCATTGTAGTTTATATACTTTGTACAATGTTTGTTTCTGATTTATCACGCTTAAATATAATGCAGTGTTCAATTTTTAGATTTGAACTTCAGTTTTTTTTACTTTAGAACTCGTTTGCTAACACTAAAATTATCTGAATCTACTGATGATGCTGAAACTCATGAAACTCTCACTGAATTGCCTAATTATGCTGATTTATGGGGGGGGGGGAATTTAAAACATTTTTATTAATCAAATAAAGAAAAAAAATATATGAAAAATAGCTAAAATGATCTTCTACAGTAACTTAAGCCTATACAACAAAAAGTAACTATAATCTTACTTTTTCTTATTATTACACAATTTAGCGCGCGAAATCAAACGTTATGTGTTTGGTAAAAAAAATTCGTTGATAAGCCGAAAAACATGGTCGATCACCAAACAGGCTATTATTATGCTATGCCTATTAATTAATTTTGCATGTGTGTGTTTTTAATATTTATCTAACAATTTTTTTATATTTATTCTTTTTATCCTTACTTTCTAATATTTAATTTGTAACTTATAACTGTTAATTAGACTTGTAACAGCTCATTCATTGTTATTGATTATTAAATATTAAATAATGCTTTATTAATTGTGGAAATGTAACAAATTTTCACTTCTTTTGGCTCCAAATAGATTTCTATTTGCATTTTCACCATATTGTCTTTATATATATAAAGATTATTTTTCTCACAAATAAAGCAATATATTCATTTGAAATACTCTAAAAATTCCAACTGAAAGAAGGCAATTCAAAATGGTCTGTACTAAACAAAAGGTTTGTATATTGAGTGGGAAAGAAAGATACTTTTCTTTACATTTAATGTTCATCAAATGCATATGAACATGTACATTAACCAACATTTATGTATGGAAGTAACGGCAGGACCAAGCAACATATTTCAATTTTGAATTCCAAATTGAACACTGCTTCGTACGTTTTATATTACTATTTAAAATAAAATAAAATTGTTCGGATTCAGCACGTCACAATTTTTGTCAAAACGCAAGCGATCTTTCAATACATTTTAAATGATACTTGAATAATGTTCTTTATCATGTAAATTCATTTACAATGATAGCTTTTATTTTATAAGAGACAAAAATTCATCGTATTAAAACATCACTTAACACCTTTACAATTATGGATTATAAAGTTAAGGCTAAAGGGTCAAATAGGCACTCGAACTAACTTAAAAAGTGTAACTCACCCCTTATATAGGAGGCTTTGTTCGGCCGTCACCAATTGGGTCAGTTCCCGGTGGAATTTTTTGATGAAATTTTTGGAACACCTTCTTCATTAAGTCTGATTAACACATACCAAATAAATTTTTGAAGATAACTGCGCAGTTAAACAACCCAGTACATTTCAGAAAATCATTTGACTTTCTTCCTGGTTGAATTTTTATCTTAAATTTTGGTATGGGTAAACTAAATTTAATAAAGAAGATGCTCAAAAAAATTCATCAAAAAAGTCCACCTGGAACCGTCCTAATTGGTGACGGCTGGACAGAACGTCTTATAGAAGGGGTGAATTGCACTTTTTAAGTTAGTTCGAGGGCCTATGTGACCATTTAGCCTCTAGTTAATTATAAATCAAATCATAAAAGTTGTACTTTGATGTATAATAAAACATTTCCAAATCATATTCTATACATTTATCCTTAGGGCTCATAAATGAGGCCTCTAAATGAAAGGAACGGTTCAGGTGAGAAAGGAGCCTTAGGAGAGAAATAAGAATGAAATCTATCCTTCAATAATCTCAATCGGATGGAGTAAAATGAATGCACAATTTCCTATTAATTTGGTACAGGAAAAGGAAAGTAATCAATTCAACTCATTTGAATTGAAATTGAAAAGTAACGTAGGGGCATTATTGAATTGAATTAGAGTAAAAGCAAAACACACCAAATATTAATTGCGGCCTATAATTGATCGAATGTTATATACCGTTGTTTTAAAACTTTTACTTTCCATTATCATTCAAACCATTAAATGCAATAAATCCTAAAATTACGAGAAAGCTAAAGTAATTTCCATAAAAGAACTTGTTAATATCATTAAAACGCTCACATATTTAGTTATTTAATAAATAAAAAAATTGATACATATTGTATAAAAAAAATATGACTTTTAAAAATGCACATATTTAATTTGTGAGATGAGTGCAACGATAATTTCATTAGAAGTGCTATTTGAAATTAAATGTTAAGCATCATTATATATTTTCACGATGAGCATACAAAGTGTGCAATTATTTGATTTTTAATAATTTATTAAAAATGCATAACATATAAATTGTACCAGGTTTTCAACTAGTCATGCACTTTTTATTACACTATCATGCACTTTTCACAACAACACTTTTCATTAAATCACCTTGCACCTTTCTTATACATTTGTACACTTTTGAACATTATATATGTAATTTGCTTGTGTATTATTAATTCATTAAAATATAAAGTTGCACTTTAAAAAATCAACGTGTGCACCTTGATACAGGGGCGGACCGTAGTAGAGACCCAGGGGGGCAGTGGCCCCTTCAACAACAAAATCTTTTAGTGTATATATATACCAAAAAATAATTTTCGCCCTCCCATTTTTTTTTAAGTTACCGCCCTCCCAAGATAAATTTTCTGGGTCCGCCCCTGCCTTGATAGCTTAATAGTTTGAAAATTTTAAAGAGAAAAGTAGATGAGGTAAAGTGCATGATGTTTATTTTAACAAAAATGATCTTTGTACTCACTCTTATACACACTTTTGTACACACCTATGTTTGTGAAGTGTTTTTGTTTTGTCTGTGAACCCCGGCTCACAGACAATATTTTGCATAGACAAAATATTGTCTGTGAACCCAGGTTCACAGGAAAAAAAACATCCACAAACATGGTGGGTATAAGGTGGGTATAAAAGTGGGTACATCAAACATTGTTGTAAGTTATCAAGGTGGCTATGTGATTTTATGTGTATTTTGATATTTATGCGTATGCACTTTTACTTGAAAGAGTATGCATCAATACCTTTCACACATTTCATTTTTATTAGGTGCACTATTATACACGCGGCACTAGTATGCAATGCACTATACGTTATATTTCATTCTTGATTTTTATTCACTACTTAAATATATAAAACACACTTTTTATATTGCACTTTATTAGCTTTTAAAAAATTGCACTGTAATCGAAATGGAAAACAAATTTGTAAACCAATAGAAATGAACAGTTTACTAATTATAATTTATTAAAGTCCGAATAGAGAGAGAGAAATGAAAAAAGGAGCTGAATATCTTTAAAATATAATAACTGTAGTATTAAGTTTAAATCTAATTAAAGAAAATAGTATGCCTCATCTAAGATGAACAAACTGCACGTCTAGAAATTTAAAGAGTAAAAATCTTAAAAGGAAGGTAAACCAAACCTAATTAATTAAACGGATAGGCAATTAATGTGCATTGAAGGAGAAGTCAAAATTACTAACTTAACCTTGGCCGAAAATAATAATAATAAGATAATCCAAGGGTTGTGATTCTTTCTCATTTCTCTCCCTAGATGATATTCTCACTTGATCATAAATCTCTCTCTCTCTCTCTCTCTCTCTCTATATATATATATATATATATATATATAAAAATTTGCGACATATTATGTGTACAAAGGAAAGAATACATATGTGTAATCTATCTATAATACTATAAAGTAACAAGGTGTTGCACCTAGCTTTTCCGGCCATCCAATGAGACATTTCATGTTTCATATACACTCATTAAACAATACGGAGTATAAGAGTTACATTAACAATTAACAATTAGTCATAATAATAGTAGTAGTATATAATAATATATTATGGAGTAATTACAATATTTTAGATTCAAAATAATAATAATAATAATAACAATAATAATAATAGTTTATTATTAACAATAATAATTAGAGATTGGTTCTACAGATTTTCAATTCAAAATAATAAAATGATGATGATGATGATGATGATGATGATGATGATGATGATGATGATGATGATGATGATGATGATAATAATAATAACAATAATAGTATTAACAATTAACAGTTATTCGTAATAATAGTAGTAGTAAATAATACTCCGTAATATACTGTGGAGTAATTGGAATATTTTCAATTCAAAATAATAATAATGATGATGATGATGATGATAACGATAGTGATGATGATAACGATAACGATAACGATAATGATAATGATAACGATAACGATAACGATAATGATAATGATAATGATAATGATAATGATAATGATAATGATAATGATAATGATAATGATAATGATAATGATAATGATAATGATAATGATAATGATAATAATAATTGTTGAGTTTAATCCAACACGATATAGTAAATATATGTATAAATGTGTATGAACAACTCAGTTTTTACGTGGAAACCCGAAAGGGAGAAAACCACGGGACTTTTTAGGCTAATGTCCAAGCCCTCTCTTTCTCATTAGGACTCTCCTCACCATTACAAGTACCATTTGAGCTCCATTAATGGAGTATTGAGCTAAGTCTAAAAGAGAAGGAAGATAGAGCTAAAGAAAGGATCCAAGAAAGGCTCCCCAAACATGGAGGGAAAACCTCCTATAAATAGGGAATAGGGGGAGTGAAGTACTCCACCCTAATGGGCCAAACGGCCGATGTCGGGCCCAATGGCCAAAGCGGGCCAGAATGGGCCGAAATGGACCTAGCTGCTCGGGCTCCGTACTGGACAATGTCTTGGGCTCCTGAACAGTAATAGGCCGGGATAATATATCCCAACACAAGTCCCCCAGTTTCTTGAGTAGTGAGCGTGCGAATCTGCTCGAGAAAATATACTCTTGCCTGCGCTCTTCCTCTGTCTAGCTGGAACCTGTGTCTTCACATAATCATAATATATGAGTGGGTGTCTGCACTCGTGAACGTAATCTGCCGGTGAGGCACCCCCCTTCCCGACGGGGTCGGGCGAAGGGTGCTCCTTCACGGGCACACTCCCCCTGAATGCATCAGGCGGGAGTAAAGGACTCTGACTCGAGCTTTCCAATCGGAGAAGCTTAGGGGTTCATGCATCTATAAACCGACGTCGCGGTACTGTCAAAACATGATGCACGTGTGTATGTATGAATGTATGAGGTATGATGCATGAATGCATGTAATGTATGGGTGCAATGTATGAGAGAGGGAATGCAAGATGTGATAGAAAGCGGTGGCTCTCATCGATAAACCAGGCATGTCAGCGCCGAGGGGCAGACGTGCTGCATAAGAGCCGTTCGTCGCCATCCTGAAAGGGATGGGCGACCCTAACGTGAGCCAGACACGATGGTGCTGGGGCGCTGATCGTGCTGCATAAGAGACGTTCGTCGCCATCCTGGAAGGGATGGGCGACCCTAACGTGAACCAGACACGATGGCGCTGGGGCGCTGATCGTGCTGCATAAGAGACGTTCGTCGCCATCCTGGAAGGGATGGGCGACCCTAACGTGAACCAGACACGATGGCGCTGGGGCGCTGATCGTGCTGCATAAGAGACGTTCGTCGCCATCCTGGAAGGGATGGGCGACCCTAACGTGAGCCAGACACGATGGCGCTGGGGCGCTGATCGTGCTACATAAAGACGTTCGTCGCCATCCTGGAAGGGATGGGCGACCCTAACGTGAGCCAGACACGATGGCGCTGGGGCGCTGATCGTGCTGCATAAAGACGTTCGTCGCCATCCTGGAAGGGATGGGCGACCCTAACGTGAGCCAGACACGATGGCGCTGGGGCGCTGATCGTGCTGCATAAGGACGTTCGTCGCCATCCTGGAAGGGATGGGCGACCCTAACGTGAGCCAGACACGATGGCGCTGGGGCGCTGATCGTGCTGCATAAAGACGTTCGTCGCCATCCTGGAAGGGATGGGCGACCCTAACGTGAACCAGACACGATGGCGCTGGGGCGCTGATCGTGCTGCATAAGAGACGTTCGTCGCCATCCTGGAAGGGATGGGCGACCCTAACGTGAGCCAGACACGATGGCGCTGGGGCGCTGATCGTGCTGCATAAAGACGTTCGTCGCCATCCTGGAAGGGATGGGCGACCCTAACGTGAGCCAGACACGATGGCGCTGGGGCGCTGATCGTGCTGCATAAAGACGTTCGTCGCCATCCTGGAAGGGATGGGCGACCCTAACGTGAGCCAGACACGATGGCGCTGGGGCGCTGATCGTGCTGCATAAAGACGTTCGTCGCCATCCTGGAAGGGATGGGCGACCCTAACGTGAGCCAGACACGATGGCGCTGGGGCGCTGATCGTGCTGCATAAAGACGTTCGTCGCCACCCTGGAAGGGAATGGGCGATCCGAACGTGAAAGAGACACGATGGCACTGAGAAGCCGATCGTGCTGCATAGGACGGTCGTCGCCATCCTGAAGGGAATGGGCGAGCCGAACCGTGAAGCCAAGTACGATGGCGCTGAGGGGCCGATCGTACTGCATAAGACGTTCGTCGCCACCCTGGAAGGGAATGGGGCGATCCGAACGTGAAAGAGACACGATGGCGCTGAGAAGCCGATCGTGCTGCATAGGACGGTCGTCGCCATCCTGAAGGGAATGGGCGAGCCGAACCGTGAAGCCAAGTACGATGGCGCTGAGGGGCCGATCGCACTGCATAAGACGTTCGTCGCCACCCTGGAAGGGAATGGGCGATCCGAACGTGAAAGAGACACGATGGCGCTGAGAAGCCGATCGTGCTGCATAGGACGGTCGTCGCCATCCTGAAGGGAATGGGCGAGCCGAACCGTGAAGCCAAGTACGATGGCGCTGAGGGACCGATCGCACTGCATAAGACGTTCGTCGCCACCCTGGAAGGGAATGGGCGATCCGAACGTGAAAGAGACACGATGGCGCTGAGAAGCCGATCGTGCTGCATAGGACGGTCGTCGCCATCCTGAAGGGAATGGGCGAGCCGAACCGTGAAGCCAAGTACGATGGCGCTGAGGGGCCGATCGCACTGCATAAGACGTTCGTCGCCACCCTGGAAGGGAATGGGCGATCCGAACGTGAAAGAGACACGATGGCGCTAAGAAGCCGATCGTGCTGCATAGGACGGTCGTCGCCATCCCGAAGGGAATGGGCGAGCCGAACCGTGAAGCCAGGTACGATGGCGCTGAGGGGCCGATCGCACTGCATAAGACGTTCGTCGCCATCCTGGAGGGAATGGGGCGATCCGAACGTGAAAGAGACACGATGGCGCTGAGAAGCCGGTCGTGCTGCACAAGACGGTCGTCGCCATCCTGGAGGGAATGGGCGAGCCGAGCCGTGAAATCAGGTACGATCCGTCTTGGCTGGCTATGAGAAGCCGATCGTCTGTCAGGACTTCATCCTGGGAGGAAGGGTGGACCTGGGCGTCGTCCATCTGTCTGATCTGGGGAGCTGGTATTCGTCGTCCAAGGCAAAAGAAAGCCTGATGTTAGCCGATCGTCGTCGGCCACTTCATTCTTCATACTTAAGTTTTGTAATTATTCTTTACATATGTTTTTCAGTTTGTATTTCCCGGCTAATAGCGCCGAGGGATAAAATCATTCTTTGCTCCGTGCTCTTCTGGCATCTCTCTTTTTTTTTTTGGAGTCTTTTAGTCTTTGTTCGTCCTTGGTCCCTGGTCCTACCGGCGTCCCTACTTCGAGGAGACGTTCGGTGTCCGCCGACATCGCAAGGAGGAACAGGTTTATCTACATCGAGATTCCCCCTTTTTTCGTTCGTCCGTGGTCCTTTTAGTCTTACCGGCATCTCTTGCTTCGAAGAGGACGTTCGGTACCCAAGGAACTCGCAGGGACGAACAGGTTCACCCTCACGGGTTCCCGACTTTGTTATCCCACGTCCATCGATCCATGGTCATTGTGGGATAAACAGGTTTATCTTGGCAAAGCTCCCTTGGTTCGTCTAGCCCCCTCCGCGTCTCTACTAACTTCTACATCGAGAGGCGTTCGTCTTCGGCGGTGGGAGAAGATCTGGCACGCCCGGGCAAGATTCCCTTCCACATAGGAGCTACCCTCCTCTTCTCCCCATCTTTTTTTTTTTTTTTTTTGGTTTGAGGGAGGCAATCTATATTCTTCGTTCGTCCTTGGTTCTTGGTCCTACCGGCGCTCTTGCTTCGAAGAGACGTTCGGTATCCGCGAAACTCGCAAGGAGGAACAGGTTTATCTACATCGAGATTCCCTAGCTCTTCTTTGTCCGTCCCTGGTCCGTGGTCCTACCGATCTTCTTACATCGAAGAAGACATTCGGTATCCAAGAAACTCGCAGGGATCACGGAATGTCACACATAATGGTGGTGGCATAGCGAACGAATATAATGACGAGGCGATAGAATAGCTGATCGTCATGCGAAGGCCCTGGTCACCCTCCTGGAGGGGAGTCGTGAGCCCGATCGCAAACTCAAGAGGGTCGGCATTGGGAGCCGACAAACAATGATCATAATGCCGCTGAGCAGTCGGTCCTGATAAGGAGATGACAATAGTGTCCGATCAGGCCGATATATCCAAGCAACGGCTCTCATCCACGCAGCGCGGGGATGAAACCGGTCTTCAAAAGATAATATGTCGTGCCGAGAGGCCGAACATAACATGATAGTGTCGGCAGTGAGAGGCCGACCTGAAAGAATCAAACAACGGTCCTCGTCCGCGATGTGGCGGGGACGAGGCCGGTCTTCAAAAGATAAGCACGCCAAGCCGAGAGGCTGGTCGTGGTATGATGATGTCGGCGATGAGAGGCCGAACATGATGTGACAATGTCGGCAATGAGGGGCCGACCTACAAGAGTCAAGCAGCGGCCCGCATCCGCGAGGAGCGGGGACGAGTCCGGTCTTCAAAAGATAAGCACGCCGAGCCGAGAGGCCGGTCGTGATATAATGATATCGGCAATGTGAGGCCGATCTGAGATAGCAAGCAACGGTCCTCATCCACGAGGAGCAGGGATGAGGCCGGTCTTCAAATGTGGAAAACACGCCGAGCCAGGAGGCCGGTCATGATATAATGACGTTGGCAATGAGAGGCCGACCTGAAAGAATCCAGCAACGGTCCTCGTCTGCGCAGTGCGGGGACGAGGCCGATCTTCAAATATGACAATCACGCCGGGCTGAGAGGCCAGTCGTGATATAATGATGTCGGCGATGAGAGCCGACCTGGAAGAAATCCAGCAACGGTCTTCGTCCGCGCAGCGCGGGGACGAGGCCGGTCTTCAAAAGATGATACTCACGCCGTGCCGAGAGGCCGGTCGTGATATAGTGGTGTCGGCAATGATAGGCCGACCTGAAAGAACCGAGCAGCGGTCCTCGTCCGCGAGGTGTGGGGACGAGGCCGGTCTTCAAAAGATGAACACGCCGAGCCGAGAGGCCGGTCGTGGTATGATGGTGTCGGCAATGAGAGGCCGACATGAAAGAACCAAGCAACGGTCCTCATCCGCGCAGCGCGGGGACGAGGCCGGTCTTCAAACATGATAATCACGCCATGCCGAGAGGCCGGTCGTGATATGATGATGTCGGCAATGAGAGGCCGACCTGGAAGAAATCCAGCAACGGTCTTCGCCCGCGCAGCGCGGGGACGAGGCCGGTCTTCAAAAGATGATACTCACGCCGTGCCGAGAGGCCGGTCGTGATATAGTGGTGTCGGCAATGATAGGCCGACCTGAAAGAACCAAGCAGCGGTCCTCGTCTGCGAGGTGTGGGGACGAGGCCGGTCTTCAAAAGATGAACACGCCGAGCCGAGAGGCCGGTCGTGGTATGATGGTGTCGGCAATGAGAGGCCGACATGAAAGAACCAAGCAACGGTCCTCATCCGCGCAGCGCGGGGACGAGGCCGGTCTTCAAACATGATAATCACGCCATGCCGAGAGGCCGGTCGTGATATGATGATGTCGGCAATGAGAGGCCGACCTGAAAATCAGGATGGTTTCACGACCCTTGGCCGTGATGGTCTCCTCTAGGCCCTCGGCCTCTGAATGATGGATGATCGTCTCACGGTCCTCCGCCGTGGTAGTCCACTCTAGACCCTCGGCCTCTAGGTGTTCTTCCTAGGCCATCAGTCTCTGGGGTGGAGATGTTCGTCCCACAGTTCTCAACCGTGGTGGTCTCCTCTTTAGCTGGCCCTGAACGTCTTTGAGACTCAGGCCCCGCGTCTTTCAATCATCTTGCTCGAGCGCGTCGAGCAGCTCCAACTGCGTAATAAGCATGGTAACGGGCCGCGCGGCCCGACAATATGTATACACACATAGGCAGTCGTATGGCTTCTCTCTAACATCCACGAATACCGGCCTATGGGTCATCGTGACCCTCGGCCCGGCTCATCGTGCGGGACTGATGGATGCAGCAGCTCACGGCGGGGCCAACTGGCAGCCCGCCGAACGTCACATAGAGATATTCATCGGTCCGTGAGTTTTCAAACTCAGACCCAAGTTGGTCGCACCGCCCTCGGAAACACGAGGCCGAGCGCTTTGGTGCCCTCGGGGCCCCACAGGCCACGTTTGGCAATAGTCATTTCGCGCCTAATGGCGTAAATGATACTGGGGTACGATCGTCGATCGAACACGTAGTGCCGTGCGGACTAATGCGCAACCCTCAAATTAAAACGCGTCATCGGGGCACTACCCTCTGGAGACGCTCAGATCGCTAATCAAGCTGATTGAGAGTGGGTCATCGGGGCCACAAGAAATTAAATACTTAATAAAATGTTAGCTGAACTAACCATCACTTGAGCCTCGCTCAACATTATTTAATTCGGGACATTTTATCCCTAATAAATAATAGTGATATAACCGGTAATAGCAATGATACTTTCCTATCAAAGGCCATTCAAGCATACTCCGTTCGCTAATTAAAGCCGATCAGGAGCGGGCCGACGGGCCCACAACACCCAGTCACTTAATTTTAAATGACGGTGAAACTAATTATCACTTCGAGCTTGGCTCGACATTATTTAATTTTGGGATGCTTTTAGTCCCAATAAATAATGGTGATAAAATACTAGCAATACTACCGAGTAATAATATTTTAAAGCTAGTGCCAAGTACTTTAATTGGAAATTTGGAGACTGAATACTTAGCTTCAAAGTTGATACTCGGCCAGGGGTTTTGTGAAAACCATTTGCTCAACCTTGCTGGACTTGGTCAAAACTGCCAAAAAACCTCCAATTACCTAGCCTTCGCATTTTGCAAGCTGGCAGCTACCCCTACGGCCAATATGTAGCCCGATTGTTACTCAGCTACTGTAGCTGGTCGAAGGGAGCCCACGCACAACGCAGCAGCGGCCGATGATGGCCAGGACAAAGCTGCCTCAGGCGACATTAGCGGCGGAGCGACAAGGATCGGTGGCGTGGTCGCCAGCTAGGACTCCGGCATAACCGGCGGAACTCCCTCAACCTCGAGCCATGGGGGTGCACTGATTTACGGTTGTCACTCCCGAAGCCCTCAGCGGCCATTAATGGCGGACCTTCTCTGAGGTTCGTGCAACCAGGGGGAGCTGAGGCCGGCAATTGCACCGCAACGGAGGCGGAGAGCGGCGCTGCCAGCGATGACGATGGCCGGAAAAGCTAGGCAAGTTTTACATCGTATGTCAGCGAGCCCTTGGTGGAGCGCGCGGCGGTACGGACGGCTTCTCCGGCCGTGGTCCGCCAACTTCCAGATCTGGACTTCATCCCTTCTTTTTCCCAGAATCTTTCTTTTCGCTTTTCTTCTTCCTCGGTCAATTGGGCAGGTGCTGCTGGCAGCCACATTCTTGCTTCAGGTCCGGAGCTTCCCAAGGCCAAAGCTCCAGAAGTTTTTCTTTCTTTTTGCTGAAATCATTTTTCTTTCTCTAGACTTCCTTCTTCCTCGTTCCCAGAATCTTCTTCCTCATGTTTTGCTTTTCAGGATCCTTTTTCTTGTTGCAAATCAGTCTTTTTCTGTATGAATTTTTTGTAGAAACTCAAGAATAGTAGAAACACATGAATCTTTTTGGACAGATTCCCACAGACGGCGCCAGTGTTGAGTTTAATCCAACACGATATAGTAAATATATGTATAAATGTGTATGAACAACTCAGTTTTTACGTGGAAACCCGAAAGGGAGAAAACCACGGGACTTTTTAGGCTAATGTCCAAGCCCTCTCTTTCTCATTAGGACTCTCCTCACCATTACAAGTACCATTTGAGCTCCATTAATGGAGTATTGAGCTAAGTCTAAAAGAGAAGGAAGATAGAGCTAAAGAAAGGATCCAAGAAAGGCTCCCCAAACATGGAGGGAAAACCTCCTATAAATAGGGAATAGGGGGAGTGAAGTACTCCACCCTAATGGGCCAAACGGCCGATGTCGGGCCCAATGGCCAAAGCGGGCCAGAATGGGCCGAAATGGACCTAGCTGCTCGGGCTCCGTACTGGACAATGTCTTGGGCTCCTGAACAGTAATAGGCCGGGATAATATATCCCAACAATAATAATTCATATTCATACACTTTTCCCTATAATATATCTTTTATCTCTCTTATATTATGTACTTGTATACTTTTAGTGCTTTTAAGACATTAAATTTGGTTATTTAGATTTACATTTGTTAAAACATGATATTGCATTTTCATATGTGTGGTTTACATTCCACATGTTTGAGTTATGTTTATAAAAATTTCTGCAGTTTCATTTTCAGTATATGGAGTTACATCTTCTTATGCGCGTTTTACATCTTTATACGCGTGAGTTACATTAAAAATTATCTCAACAAGTTACATTTTGCATACACCTGAGTTAATTTTTTCAACAACACGAGTTACATTTTTCATAATACGAGTTACATCGCAAATTAAACATCTACTATTGAAACAAAAAAATAGTACGGAGTAATAATATCTTTCCACAAAAAATGATTTTCTGGCAAAATTAATTGTTTTCATGGGAAATTTTGGCAAAAAAAAAAATGATTTTTTAACACTTTATATGGCCTTAAATATCATAAACAAAACATATGAACTATTTATGTGAAGTAATTGAGAAATTAGGCTCTCTGTTTACATTTGATGGAATATGGAATAGTATATGTTGTGTTAAATTGCTTGTCACACACCGGAAAGTTATAAAAAATAAAAAATTATATAAGACTTTGAGCTACTTCTGCTATCAGACTAACCTTTTAGGATGAAATCCCGAGTCTTAACATGATATTAGGGTCAAATTCGGTTGTGGTTTGACTGCTTGTTTAGCACCCATTATTAAGGATACCTTGTTAAGGATCTGTTTGACCAATTTATACACTCTGATATTATTCAGTTCGATTCGGGCTGAGGGAGACATGTCAATATATTTGTCTCACATCGAAAAACTATAAAACAATAAAACATTATATAAGACTTTGGGCTATTCCCAGTCTCCTCCTATCAAGTTGATCTGTTGAGATGAATTTACCTGATAGATTTGAATGCATGACTTGATATGGTGTTTGTTAATTGTTATCATTTTATATATATTACGGAGCATTAATTATTGATTTATGTATATGTTTAAGTGCGATATATTGGATATGATTTATATTGATTTGTTACACTCACCTATTTGATCGAAATCAAAAGATGTTGTATCAAGCCTGATTTGTTGTTTCGTCAAAACCAATTTTTTTCAATAAATCATGGCTGCCCAGCCTCCATTATTGTTCCTATACCAACATTTGGTTTGGTTTTGTTGGTTTCTTGTAAAATACTACGGAGTACTCCGTACGTACCATTAGGGGCGGAGCTACTAGGGGGTCAGGGTGGTCAGCCGACCCCGCTGAAAATTTAAGAGTGTAGAGCTCTGAAATATCTTCAATTTGATATATTATGGCTCTCGTAACTCATTACGAGTAAAAAGTTATGACTTCTGCAAAATCAGCACTATTTAAGTTTGAAATTGGTAAGTAAGAAATTTTGATACTAAACCGAGCAAGATTGAAGAGAACCATAGAGTACAAGGGTAAGACAATGAGTCTCATACGAGGTACTCAACTCAACCCGTATAAAACAAGTTCATAATATATGTGACATATACGAAGTATATTAACTACATATACTCTATTAATTTCATTTAAACTATCATTTGTCTAAGCTACATTCAATACGAGTATTGTCTAAAAATAATCTACCGTTTGGATTCTATGCAAATTTGATTTCGACCCCGCCGAGTCATTTTTCTGACTCCGCCCCTGCGTACCATTATGTTCTGTCCGAAGTACAAGATAGATACAAATAGAATTATAGAAACTTCAACGCATTTAGCTCTTTTGTCATTAGGACATTCAATTCAATGGTATTAATAGGCGGGGTTAAGGTACCGGCCGGCCTTGCCACTTTTAAGTTTTTTTTGTCAATCTATTTTTTAGTTTATGTATGCACATACTCCGTATATAATTATGTTAAATTGTAGTACCTCCGTCTCACTCAACTTTGTCAAGTTAATTGATGTTAGGTGAGAAATTATAATAGTAAAAATTGTGTGGTTGAGATTTGTGCAGAGCAGAGAGAAATGAACAGAGTCATAAATTCATTGTTTTAAAGAGAAAGTGACAAAGTTTTTTGGACAAACAAAAAGGGAAAGTTGGCAAAGTCCAGTGGGACGGAGGGAGTAAAAAGTATGTTTAAATATGAAGTTCGTGACCCCATAATATAAATTTTAGAAGATGTAATATCAATTTATGGTTATCCCATCAAAATTAATAATCATTAGAACATCACATGTATGTACAGAATAGATAAAAACAAGTAAAACTTGACAAAGAATAATATCAACTTTCACTGGTCGTCTCATAATAATCTCACATTTACGTAATCCAAGAATAATCTAACTCTTGCATCTCATCTTCTTTCATTAGACCCTGATCTATTGATGACCTATATTGGTGGGATTATTTATATAAGATTTTCAAAAAAAAGGGTCCAATGAAAGCAAAGGTGGGATTATTCTGAGATTATGTAAAGTTGAGATTATGACCTATTAAAAACAAACATTTATTGCATGTATTTTAATTCTCTCATCCTTAGAAAGTTAGAGCCCACTTAATAATTATGAAATTAAATAAATTCATGAAATAATGAAATTAATTGAATCGATAAAATGTGTTGAATTCGATAAAATTGTTGTTGGAATGGTTGTTGGAATGGTTAAATACGCTACCGGAAAGATATATTTTATTAACCAAATAAAGGAAAAAAATATAGGAATATAGTTAAGATGATTTTCTACATTTTTTTTAAATTCCTCTAAAGTTTTGGTTAGAAAAGTAACTTCTGATTTAAATTTATTATTACACAACTCAGTGCATGAAATTAATGAAATTAATTGATAAAACATGTAAATAGAGGTTATTAAAGGGTTATTTTCAAAAATATTATCAAAATAAAACTTATTTATAAAATATGAGTAATAGTTACTACTCGTACAATGTAGTCTCATGCTAACTTAATTTCAAAAATTGTACATAAATTATCATGATTACATTAATATTCTAATCATTAATTAATCACATTTCTATAAACATTTTTTACTTTAGTCATAAATATGTAAGTAATTATTTTTTATTAAAAGGCTTTTAATGATTTCTTAAAATGCACTATGAAGAGAAATTACAAACAAAATTTAAGTACTTTGTGTCTTGATGATATCATTATGACAATATTCCAAAAGGCCATGTGTTCAAAAGTCATCACAATTTAAAAAAATTGACATGCTATTATAGCAAATAGAATACAGTAATACATATGTTAGAGCAAGAAATTGACGGTTTATGTTGCATTTAAAAGAGTTGACCACAAGAGTTAATGGAGCGTCCACAAATCTCAATCTTAATTATTGTAACGTTTTCTATACATCTTTAATGTGATTAAGGAAGGTATTGATGGTAATTGACCAACTTTTATGACAGATTCAAAATTGTCATAAACGTACGGCCAACCCATCAGTAACGGACAAAGCCATCACGGGAGCATTAACTACCCTTCCTATAAATAGGATACCCCTCATCGTAATCAGCAGCTACTCATTTCGAATAATACATAGAACTTCTGTATTATTTGCTCACTTGTCATCTTCTTCATTGCTCTTGTACGAGACCCGTTCTTCATATAAATTTCATTTTTAATTAGTTTTAGCTTGTCAAAATTTTGCTAAAATAATTTGGCGCGCACCGTGGGGCCTCGTGCAAGAGAAAGATCGACCATGGCAGGAGCTAATCCCTTGTTGATTGAGTTTCACGAACAGCTAGAGACGGTCAAGCGTGAGATGGCGGAACGAATAGCACATCTTCAACGGGAGAATGACGTGCTTCGATCCCAGGTACAACCGGCAATGTCGAAAGTCTCAAGCTCGAGAATTAACCGGAGGAGTGACGCCATGACTGATGCCACGAGACTGGGTCTTGGTTTCACCCCGGCAGCGACGGATCCACCTGCAACAACGACGGATCCCGTCTCCCTCACACTAGGTATGTCACCAACTGGAGAACCACAATCAATGGTCATCTCGCAGACCATTCGAAGCATATCCAAGGGGATGACCTATATTTAGCCACTCAGAGCATGCCCTCGATGACTACAATCTCAGCTCCAACAGAGCCCTCCATTCCTCATTATAGGAGCAGGACCTTTAGGGATCCGATCCGTCCAACTTCATGCAAAATCCTAGACGTAACACACTGGGTGTGCCACTTCTTGAATCCGAGACACAACGTCCTTATAGACCCGTCACCTCAGCAGATCTAAATCAAGGGAGAAAACGTATAGAAGTCATGTTTATCTCGTCACCAACCCGACCAGAGACCACCCAAATGGCCAGACCTACAGTTCCAACGGCGGGACCAATTCAACCAGGCATGACGGAACCAATGTCAATGATAATGGACCAGCTACGACAAAGGCAAGAGAGGATCAATGCAATTCCTGGAGTCCCCCCCCCCCACTTGACATAACGTCTCATATGTGTTATGAAGATTCACCTTTTGACAGTTCGATCATGCATGTCGAATAGCCAAATAAATTTGTCGTACCACCCATGGAGCCATTTGACGGAACCACGGATCCTAGAGAGCATATCCCTCGATATAAGCACATGATGTCAACCGTCTCTGTTAGACCTGAACATAGAGAGGCATGTAGTCGCCAACACAATTTTGGAGGGAAGAAAATAAAAAGCCAGCTTTCAGTCTTCATTGTTCAGTCAAGGAGACGGGTTTGATTGGAAATTACTAGAAGGGAAAGACGGAACATTTCGTCAACCGAATTGATCAATACGTCATGACAAGTCGTTGATGAGTCAATAGACGCAATAAACCAAGATGTGAAGTATAAGCTCTTTTAAAATTTAGACAAATTGCCGCTTAACGGTGTGACCCGCCCACCGTACGCGTCAACTTCTCGAAAGAGGGCAATTGTTAGAGCAAGAAATTGACGGTTTATATTGCATTTAAGAGAATTGACCACAACAGTTAATGGAGCGCCCACAAATCTCAATCTTAATTATTGTAATGTTTTCTATACATTATTAGGCTCTTTAATGTGATTAAGGAAAGTATTGATAGTAATTGACCAACTTTTATGACAGATTCAAAATCGTCATAACGTACGACCAACCCGTCAGTAACGGACAAAGCCATCATGAGAGCATTAACTACTCTTCCTATAAATATGA